TACTGCTGATCTGATGCATATACGAGAAGCCTTCAACGCAACGTGAAATCTTCGACTCCACCCACTTGCTCGATGCACACATCGACTTCCCTCATTGTATCGGGATCATATCCGAATATGTGGCAATCACCACTAATAAGAGTCCAATATCTATCTTGGTCTTCCCTTAGAAGACACGGTCTGCGAGTACCGGAGATGATGCAGACTATGTCCCCGGGTTGTGCGGCTTCAGGTACGATTACGAGCTCGTCGTCGTTCGTTAAACTAATACAACAATGCTGAAGAGCATCGTACAGGCGCGTAACATCTTTCGGAATAGTGTATGGCAGGTCCTAGTGAGGAATTATAAACTTGATTCGCTTGTCGTAAAATTTAACTTACAGCTAGTCCGGTTCCACGCATAAGACCGTCGCGAAGGTCTATGCCATGCAGATTAGACATCCCTTACTCGAGTTAGTGAGCAGCATAGCGCACACGGTCCCCAAGCTTACGCTTCAAAATTTCTGGGGTGAAGTGCCCAGAAACAGTAGCAGTATTAGACTTGTCTTCTTCATGGAGATATTGCCTAAGGTCATCGAATTCATTGTAGACATTGCGCATTTGCTTGGCCGCATCGTCAAGATTCACAAATCGAAATCCCTTGCTACACTCTAGAATACGCGCAATTTGACACCCGCGAATGTGAATAGTCGCGTTATTGCGAAGTTCGCCATTTGAGTACGATTGCAGTGTGCGGTCATGATCGCCAGTAGTAGGGGCCAACAGAGAGCCTGCCTCTATGAATGAAGGGTCGTCTGACTCGCGTGAAAAGCTCGAGAAATCGAGCGGAAGGTTTTGCGACCAATCCGGAATCCAAGAAGCCATATTCGAATCGTGTGGGTGCCGAGTAGCGGCAAGTATCCGAGGTCCCAATACTGGCAAAAGGAATCCCGCTACGTTAGTAAAACAATCTTCGACGCTCTGGGTATAGTCGACCAGGTAATCCATTTCTAGTTGTTTGCGACCAAGTAAAGACTTCAAGGCGAAAACGTTGTCCCTGGGATTGGTCGCTAGACACTGTCTGGTCTCATACAGCCAATTCCACAAAGTGAATTGTGAGGTTGAAAACTCTTGTAGTGGCGCTATCAAGATTATTACGTGTACAGGCCAGTTGTTCTCAGCAGGACTAGATCCGAGACCAAGTCTAATAAGAGCCTCGAAAGGTATTGTAGCAGAGCCGTAAACTATTGTGATATGGCTCTTGTTGTAAATTTCTTGAAGAACCCACGTTCTTTGAAACCACGGGTCTTCGTACAGAGCCTCTACCTGTCGCATAGTTGCTCCAAGACGGTCAATGGATACCGCGTCTGATCCTTGTGGCATGGAGGATAACTGGTCCAGTAATAGGCGACAGTCTGGAACCTGATCGTTGAGCATGACCATGACACCCCATGCGAAGTCGTAGACATCCTTCATCATGCGAACCTGATGGCCTCGCTCCAAAGGATCCTCCTGGTTGATACAAACAGCATCAATCCAAAGTTTGCGACGTTTCCACGGGAGACGCAAGCGTCGGAGAGCTGCATGACAGTTCCTCCCAACAGATAGACTCTGTTTGGCATCGTTGCACTGAATCACGTGTGTGCGGCCACTGTTCCCCCACGTATAAGATACTGCTTCGTAGTATAGGGACCCATCGGACAGGTTCTCGTGACATATCGTACATTCAATTGGGTCTGCCTCGTTTTGACTTGGATGTAGGACAAGCATGCGAACCGAGTCGCTGTGTTGTAGCGGTTGATATTGGTACGAAGGAGTTTCCATGACGAGATGAAGTGGACAGTGATCGCGAATAGGAGTAGTTGTCGAGGGGGTTTGGGGTTGTGACGCCTCTAATTCGAGAGTGTCACCTCGCGCATAGTTGTATCAATCGCGGTGGGGGGTATTCGGCTCGTTGTCTGAACGTCGCCGCTGGATTAGCGCAATACCATGCGAAGGTTGAAAGAAGTGCAAGCTCTCCTTTGCTAAAAGGCTGTAGTCCTTGGCAGCTTTTAGGCAGCAACCTCTAGGCGCATGGCAGCTGACTGCATCGAGCAAGTGGGGGCTGTGCTGTGGCGTAAACATCATCATTGACAAAGCCGCGCGCATAAGCAAACCTAATGAGCCTACTACATCTTGAATTATGCTGCTGGTTATTTATAAACATAGAGAAATACCCTGAATCACCGCTATCGAGTTACTAATCCACGAATAGTCACACCCAAAGTTCCTCGCGAGAAGACTTGAAGCTCGAGCGCGAAGCCTGGAGAAAGTACACAGGCGAACAGCCTCGCGCTGCGTGCATCCAGCTTCCAACAGGGCCTCAGCCTTACACCATGCCAAGATGCCCTCCTCAGCTCCTCACCCGCCATTTTACATCACCCCGCTGCAACAATTGCGCGCATTATCGATACAAGGTAGCAGTCTATTCGCACACTTCTCTCTGCACCACCACTCTCCCTCATCCAATCAAAACCCACCCCCCTCAACACCCTCTCTAACCCCCCTCACAACGCCCTCAACCACCACATCCCCAACAACACCATCTTGCCAACAAACCCCAACACTCAATCCTCCATCCGCCCCCGTAACAACACTCGTCGTAACCGCCGCCCCAAACGCAACAGCACTACGACTAAACGCCATCCTACCCATTCGCCAACACGCTGCCTCACCATCATCATTACCACAGCGAAGCTGCCCAGCAGCCGGAGCTGTAAAGCGACCCAAATTCGATACCTCAAACGCTGCGTCGCGAGAAGTACCCAGGAGGGACGAGAAGACTGCAGCAACATCAGGTATGAGTTTGAAAGGCGCGATGGACGTGTATGGTTCGCCGGTTGGTGAGGTGGTGGCGAGATAGGACGAGATTGATTGAGATGTGTGGTGTGCGGCGCGCAGACCGCGTGATTTCTTCTCGTGATGATCATCGGCTTGTTCGTACTGCGATCGCCGTATTTGCACTTTCATCGCATCGATGAAACTGCCCATTGCGCCGTCTGCTGAGTTGGCGGGAAGGTTTAGCCACGGACGGAGGTTGATGGGTATGATACCTGTGAGTGCTTCGATATCTTCTGGTAGAGCAGAGAGGAGAGCGCCCGCTAGGACGGCGGTGAGACTGGATGTCACCGTCGTGCCGTTGTGCTTACATTTCTTCGCAAAGGTTGTAGTGGACGCGGGTGAGAAGTACAGCGTTTTGTAATGTGTTTCCAGCGGTGTATGAATGGGGTTGCCGAACCACTCTTTCAGTCCCTTCCCTCCATCAGCTCGATGGTCTCGCAGGTTCTCGTTGATAGGTAAAGGATGGAGCTGTTCTAGAGGGCTGAGAAGCTGGATGTTGGCGTCGATGGTTACGATCGAGCTGCTGTGAGCGACGAAAGGGGTTTGTGAGATTGCGGTGTTGAGCGCTTGCAGGAAGAATGTGTGGAAGATTGAGCCTGTTGCCCCGTCACCGAGACTGTGGTGGAAGATGAAGGATGCAGTGAAGCTGAGTTCGCTACCAGCGTCTTGAAGGATGATCAAGCGCCAGAAAGGCAGGTCACCATAATTGGTTTTGAAGTCGGTATTGTGCTGTTCTTCCAGTATGGTGTCGAGCTCGAGATCTGCTTCTCCTTGAGCAGTAGACCCAGTCCTTCTCCTCCAGAAGACGCACCTAGCAAGATCGATCGACTCCAGCCTCGCAAAGTAAGCCTCCGGAGACGCTTCATCAACAGGAATGGCCGACAGGATAGCATTCTTTCTCACAACATCCGCCAAAGCTGCATAGACTACGCGTTGGAGATCGGGCGATTCGGTACTGTTAGACAAGCTGTAGTGGGCAGACATGCCGACATTCTTGAAGAAGCCAAGTGCGTGGGATACCGCTGAGAGCTGTTCGGATTTGCCTGTGGGGTAATTAGTTGGACTGGAGGGCTTGGATCACTAATTGGAGCTGGTGTACCTAATGGTCGCAGTATAGGAAGTCGCTGCACTTTGGGCTTCTGGTCCGGTCTGGTGCGCGCCATTTTGGGAATAATCGTTGCGGTAGTAAGCTGGAAACTGTGGGTTCAAGGGCGAAGGATGTGAACAATGGGGCTCTTAAGACCTTCTAACCCGAGTTTATGTTAACCTGATAGCCCGGGTAGCGTACGCAAGCGATTGAGGTTGCCGGATCGGATGCAACGAATAACGCGGCATGGCCGAGCGATACCAAGCCAACCGGCCGCTGTAGGAACTCCGTACATGGTTAGAGTCCAGCCATGGTGTTCTTGGCTATATGAGCAGTTTATCAGCCGCTATGGATCCATCGCTTGTCACTGTGGCTCGTGTCAGGTTGGTGGCTGACAACCTTACAAGCTTAGCCTATGTCCGACGGTAAGCCGGGCAAGGCCTCAGCTCCCATGTCGCTGTGTATCCCAACAAGATAATAGGACATTGGCGGAAGCGCTGACCGCAAATCAAAGTGAATTCAGTGTAGGATTCGTGACAACGAGAATGCTATTAGAGATACAGCTTGGAGAAGGAGAAGTTGGATGTAGACGGTCCGCGGCGGGGTGCTAGTAATGAGGGGCATCATGGATCAGCCTTTGAGCGTAAGGAGAGGTGTCTATGTGAGGTAAGCATGGTAGTGAAAGCCAGCTCATCGATTGATCATAAGAGAGTTGCGTTCGAGCGCATGGCATACGTCGCTTGCTTCGTGATACAGGTTACCTCCTGCCACGCGCAAGCTGACAGCGCCCGCCGCATCAATTGATGGCAGATCGCGCTTTGCTGGTTAAGGGCTAGCGTCACAATCCCTGCTTCCACAATGGAGGATATGAGTTGCTGTGTTCGGGACCAAGATGGTGGATTTGATGGGCCATCAGGAACACCTCTCTTGTACCGCATATCGACTTTCACGAAGATCCTGTAATACATCTCCGTATGAAATGTGTGTGATTCATTCCCCACATGTCGTGTTGCAGTTCATGAAGCGTCTCTCGACAGCCCTTCTAGTCAAGACTCTACAACCTCCTACAAATATCCTCAACAATCTCCTCCGTCCCCGCCTTCCCGCCCATATCAGGACTCAACAACCTCGCCTCCTCCAAATTCCCATCCACCGCTTGATAAATCCTCGCCGCCGCCTCCTCCTCACCAATAAACTCCAACATCAGCGCTGTGCTCCTAATCGTCGCAATCGGGTTGGCGATACCCTGGCCCTCGATATCAGGGGCAGACCCATGGCACGGCTCACCGATAACAAAGTCTTTGCCGACGTTGGCGGAGGGAACGAGACCGAGGGAACCGACTAGGGCGGCGGCGCCGTCAGAGAGGATGTCGCCGTAGAGGTTGGGTGCGACAATGACGTCGTAGTCTTGGGGTTGGCGGAAGAGTTTGTAGACCATTGAGTCGACGATTTGTTCCTCCACGTTTACGCCGCCGTATTTCCTGTTTTGCAGCGCGCGGCGAGCGGTCTCGCGGAAGAGGCCGTCTGTTTGCGATAGCACATTGCTCTTGTGTGTGATGGTGACGAGTGGGGAGGAGTGAATAGACTGCGCGCCGGCGTCGCGAACGCGTTGGCGGCGGAGGGCGATGTCGCCGGCCATTTCGGAGATGTTGAAAGACGCGGTTTCGGAAATGCGCTTGATTGCTTCGGCGATTTTGCTTCCATCAGGCGCAGCATACGTCTTCTCCTCTTTAACATAAAGATCCTCGGTGTTCTCACGCACAATCACCAAATCCACATCCCTTGCCGCGCCCCTAACGCTCTTAACAGGCCTCACATTAGCATAAAGCTTCATCTTCTTCCTCAACGCAACAATAGGACTCGAATAGCCCTTGGTTTGCACGGTGGGCGAGCTGACGGCTCCGAAAAGGGCGCCATCGCAGTCGGATTTCAGGGCCGAGACAGTGTCGTCGGGGAGAGCGGCACCTGTCTTTTGGAAGGTTTCCCAGCCGGCTTCGTGGTGCGAGAAGGAGAATTTTAGGCCAAAGGAGGAGGGCAGGGCTTCGAGGATGCGGCGACCCGCGGGGATGACTTCGCGGCCGATGCCGTCGCCGGGGATGAGGCCTGGGGTGTGTTAGTCGATTCGCATGGCAATTGATGCTATTGGCGCGTGGCAAATCAATTGATCGTCTTACCTATCCTCAAAGTGCGTGCGGCCATGTTGGGGATGTGATGCGGGAGTGACAGCTTCACGCGCATGGAATTTTTGGTGTTGCTGCAGCTGCCGCCGAAGTTCGGAGGTCCGAGCTTCTTTTACCGGCCGCCCACGTTGTGTCCCCGCGGGGGAGAACGGAGATTGCCATCCATGGAAATTTATCGTCAGAGTTACATTGACTACTGCATTTGCTGCTCATATGGAGCGCAAATCCATGGCATCCCTAACAATACCCCCAGCCCATCCCATCCCATCCCATCCCACATTACCCTTACCCCCCCAAACGCCGTGCTGATACCCTTAACCCTCAACCCAATCATCCCCCCCTCACCAAACAAACTGCGGATACCAAGACCCAATCCCCTAATCAAGGTCACTATTCCCTCCATCCTTCTTCCCACCGCCACCATGAACCTCCTCAAACTTCTCTTTCGGATCCTCAGCACCCTCTTTTTTAGCTTGCTCGGTGGGCAGTAGTTCTATCACCACGACAAAGAGCTCCTGGTTGGTTTCCCGGTTCTTGAGCACATATCTAAGCGTGTGCGGTCTGATTAGTGAATGCAGTCAAGTCAGCTCCGTATCCCGAGGTCCAAAGAAATGTGTGAGTAGTAGTGGTGGTGGTGGTTGTGGTAGTAGTGGTTGTGGTGACGACGATAATGGGGGATACAGGAGGTTGAAGGAATGTGTGACTTACCGCAGCGGCTGTCCGTCCCAGTGCCCAATCATACTTATAACAGGTAATCCATACCCGATCTTGAGCGCAAACTCATTGAAATCGAGATACGGGTTGAAGAAATCGCACTTATATTCCCTGCCAGCCTCAAACACAAAGTCCTTCCTGTTCTGCTCCGTGAGGAAGAACTTTTGTCGCGCGCTGGCTCTGTCGGGTACGTGTTTGCTCCTCCTGACGTCCACGCCGTCGCCATCTGCGCCTTCTTCGTATACAACGGCCTCGCCATCTGAGCCAGGCACTTCCACATCTCCTTCTGTTTGTGCCTCGCCTTCCAGGTCGCTCTTGGCCGGCTTGTCCGCATCCTTCTTGCTACCAATGCGCAGGACGTTTATCGAGGAAAGAAGCGCGCCATAGAGGTACGGCTCGTCCGCGTACACATCGCCGTCTAGACCTGGATCAATCCACCACCTGACTACCCCAAACGCCTTGTCGAACAGCGGCGGTAACCGGTCGCGAATCGGGTGATCGAAGTCGTTTCCGAAAACGAGCTTGTCGCCCGCTATGTCTTGTTTTGGTGTGAAAGAGAAGGATATCGAGTAGCGATCGTAGCAATGTTGGGGTACGGAGAAGTAGGGTGAGGTCTTTGGTGAGCCTTCTGGTAGGCCTGGGCTTTGTTAGTGGCTGGAGCGTTGGAGGGGTAGGTTGACGAGGGGTCCAGGTGGGAGGCGTACCGCGGTAGTCTTTGATGCGCATGTGTACGCGCGCGTCGATCAAGTCGGAGGATATGTCGACGGGCTTTTCGCTGTTGACAAGGACATCTTCGTGTTTCGACGTGTCGTAGGTTGCGCCCGCCGTGACGTGCAGTATGTACTGCTCGTGCGTCGCCATGTTTGCTTTGGGACGCTCTTCGATGTGGGTGAAGGTTGGGTTTAAACAAAGATGCGAGTAAAGAATGGGTTTCCTATGCGAGTGAGTAAGTCCTGAAGTGCTGCGTGGGGTTGTCGTAATGTTCGTCAGTGTTGATCACACGCGCTGTTGGGCTTGCCCCAAAATTTGGTGATGAGCGATGACGTTCCGAAGCCGCACGGAAGCAGGGATTGTGGCGCTAGCCCTTATTCAGCAAAGCGCGATCTGCCATGCGGCGGGCGCTGTCGAGTGTCACTCTGGGCGTGGCATGAACGCGAGAGCACATCGGGTTCCGGGTACCTAGGTACTAAACACCCTTCTAGTACAATCGATCTACCAAGTATTAGAAGAAAATTGTAAGTGGAATATTACTTGAATAGGCGATACACCATCAATCCTATCAACTCCATCATCCTAGCACCGAACCCCTCTCCTCACACCCTCGTAAAAGCATCAACATCCACCCTCTGATAAAAGCTCACGTGCCCAAACGTCTCCCAATACTGCGCCAGCCGATCATGGCTGATGAGGATAAGCTGGCTTGTCATGTAATTATCTGGTCAACGTTAGCATCCATCTACCCTAATCCTCTCACACCCCCCAGCAACGGTCTCCCCACCCTCCCATCCCCCATCCTCTATCATCCACAGCCCCTCGAGACAAGAAAGGAAAAGGACAAACATACCATCTCTAAACCCCGTCGCAGCAATATGCCCCACACTCCTCACAATCCTTGCGCCCTTGAAAATCTCCTCCTTCGCAACGCGGATCAAGCCATTAGGGCCAATATCCGGTGCTATGAATGTGTATTCGCCGCGGGGAATGTTTGGGTCGCCGGTGAGCTTGACGGCTTCGATGCGGCCTTTGTATACACTTTCATCCTCGTCCGCTTTACCATTGTCTGACGTGTCTGATTTTTCCCCTGAGGCGGAGATGTAGTTGTGGTAAGCAGACTGTAAAGTAGCGACGCTATCTTCCAGATCATCCGCGTTCTCCATCTCAACACCACCATCAACAAATTCCTCCTCGGAAGCGGAAGAAGACGCCGCATCCGTCGGCGCCGTCGTCCAACTCCCCCCACTACTCACACTCTCCTCCCTCTCCCTCGCGCGCATAGCCCACAGCGCACGTTCAGGAAGCGGTTTCGCATCCCGCTCATCCGGCTGCATGATGGCCAGAAACTCGCAGCCGTGGCCCGCGTAGTCGCCACACCAGATGCCCTGCCATGGTTTCTGGGGCGTGGGCGTGTAGCTCGCTTCTGGTAGCGTCGCCCACGTCGTCACGTCCTCGCCGATACGCATGCCCATGCCGAGGACGCGCGTGGAAAATTCCATCCAGCGCCGGATCCGGAATGTGGAGTCGGAGAGCTGGGAGACTGTCGCGGGTTTCTGGCCTGGTTGGCGGTAGCCAGAGGGGGAGTGGTCGTTGCGCGTGCGGTGTGCGCTGGGGAGGGTGAGGGGCGGCCAGACGGGCGTGGCGTCCGTTGTTATGGCCTGGGGCCAGGGGCGGGTGAGCATGAGTTGGGAGAAGAGAGAAGCGGCTTGTTGTTGGCGGTCGCGGTAGAGGGACATGCGGATTTCTTTCTGGAGGCGGAAGCCAATGTCCCCGACAGCTTCTTCGTAGGCATCGCGATTTAGGCGCACAATGGGCGCGTTGAGGTCGAGGCGCACGTTGGGGCTGAAGGTGTGGATTATGGCTTCGGGGTGCTGGTCCCAGGATAGAGCTACGGGCGATCGTCGTTCGGCGACGAGCGCGTAGGCTTCGATTGCGTTGAGTCTGTGGTCGTAGCGCGCGATGAGCAGTTTGCCGGTGTGGGCTGTGTCGGCGAACCAGATTTTGCGGCGTGCGATGAACCAGTATGGGTGGTGTTCTTGGTATAGTTCTCGCCAGGTGAGGCGCGCTGGTTTCGTGGGGTTGGGTACCTCTGCTTCTACGAAGGCCTGCCAGAGCGTGTCTTGGAATGTGTGGGTGCGCAGGACTTTGCTGACCATGCCTACGGTCAGGAGGTCTGATAGGGTGAGGTAGCTGAGCACATGATGGAGTAGTTCCGAAGGGAGGTTCAGCAGCGGCGGGATGGGCGTTTGCGGTGCCGGGCTTTCTGTCTCGCGAATCCGTAGCTCCATGGTATCGATTGATCGTGTCGCGTGCTTGAAGTCGTATGCAGCCTCCTTTTAGGAATCGATCGACCGTTGAAGTACCTCAGCCAGGGTGGCGAAGAGCTTAAGTAGCAACCACGTCCGTCCCTCTTACCTCTCGCAAGCAACCCGCACCGAAAAGAGGAGTAGTAAATCGCCGCACGAAGACTTAATATAGCGCCTCAATCGTCGGTCCTGCAGGGCGCTCTCCCACCCGATCCCACCGTCTCGGCAACGTTCCGCGGTGACACCTTCCCACCTTCGCCTAGCCTTAACAAGTCCGGGGTAGATTGGCGTGATCAAGCAGCGAATACGAGCGCTATGCAAGATCAAAGAAGATCAAAGCACTAACTCGCGTATCTTGGACGTGCTGAGTACCTGCTCTTTTAGGTGTTTGGTGTTTGATGTTGGCTTTACGGTGCTGACGATGTTGCGATATCGGATGATGCGCTGCAAGGGTGAGGCGGCTCGGGAATGTCTTCGGGTGCGACGGCAGAGGGTGAGGAGGCGGGCGATGGAGTGGTTTGCCGGCGACAAAGGGAAAGGAAGTGGTTGAATGCGAGGAGATAGGTGCTTGTCGTCGCCACGCAGGCGTGATAGGTGCGTGTCGGTCACGATATCGCAGTACGTCACCGTCCGTCCGTGCGCTGGCGCATAGCTGGCTTTTGTGGGGTACCGCGAACTTGACTTCTGCCACCACATTTTGAGGCAGACATCGCGTTTTTAGGGTACGCACGTCGCGATATCTTGTAGCCAGGAGGTATTCAGTGATGATGGGGTGAGTATCTGTGCTGATATATGATGACTTCACGACGACATATCACCGTGCGCCCGGAGATGTGAGGATACAAATCACGGTTGAGGCATACATCATCATCGGGAAACATTATTCATTCAGGCCGGATTTCAAGCCAGGCGACGACATCACCCACTACATACTCCACCCACCAACCTCCCAAACCCCCCTACCGCCTACAAGTCCTTGAACTTGCCCTTCCAGGCCGCCTTCGCCGGGCTCCTCTTCACCACGCCCACCGGCCTCTTCCCCATCTCCCCCTCCCTCCTCTTCTGCTCGAAAGCCGCCTTCCTCCTCCTCTCCCTCTCCTCCTTCTTCTCCGCCAACCCCCCCACAGTCTTCTTCATGGCCGAAGCCCGATCTGCTTTGCGCAGCAAAGTCTCTTCAGCCGCCTTGTTCTTGCTCAGCTCTTCCTCGAGGAACTGGCGGCGGCGGCGGAGCTCCAAGAGCTGCTCTTGGATGCCGGCGGCGGAGTCCTGGTGGGCGGCCTTGGCGGCGGCGGCGGCGACGACGTTGGTCTTGGTGGTGGCGGTCGCGGCACGACGGCTCCTGACCTCGTCGAGGAGGCGGGCGTCGGCGGCTTCCTTGGCTCCGGCTCCGTACATGCGGATGGGGGGCGAGGCGTACATGATCGCGATTTGGCTTGGTCGCTGATGTGGTGTGGGTGTGTGGTGGTGGTGAAGTGGTAGTATGGTATGACTTGTTTTCAATTCTAGTCTTGAATATTGGTATGATGATGGTATGGTAGGCTTGAAAAGTAATTGTGGATGTGAGATGGATAGAGAGAGCTGGAGAACAGAAGAGTTGGAGACGAAAGGACTTCTTATATAGTAAGGACTTCTTGGCTGGGACGACGTCTATTCTGCCGGTATTACAATAGCAAGGACTGCAAAAGTGAAGGTGAGCATGCAAATTTTCGCTGACGGCTGGTTTCTATAGGGCACAATAGCAGTCGATACGTGGGAAGAGATGAGGCTGGGCGAGGTGAAAGGGCGTGTGGACCAATGACACCTCTCCGAATGGACCTCGAAGTGAGCGCGACTTTGGCTGCGGGCTTTCTACTGGCTGCGAACTTGAAAATATCGACCGCTCGATCAGTCTGCGCCACCGCAGAACGTTTCAGATAGCTTAGTTGCTATTGTCTAATCAACGACGACGTTTTCACCGCTGACGTACGTCCGCTGCGAACCTTGGGAGCGGCCAGCTCAAACATCACGTGCTGGAACAAGAACCCCCGGAGCCAGGTTGGAGCATGAACGCGACCATGCTATTCGCGCAACGTTTTCACCTATCATAGTAATATGCGCCCGCATTCACCAAGCGAGAGACACGCGACTATTCAGCCCTGACAGCAACGTCATCACCTCGATACATCAGCACTCAACGCGCACCCGCATCCCTTTCCTCCCGCCAGGCCCTAGTTGCCTGCACCCACTCCTCCGGATCCCCCGGCATCCCCAAATCCCCATCAAACCCCTCTACCTGCATATTCTCCAAAGTGAAGTCCGTCGTAGGCCGTGTCATCCACTCCGGAAGCGGTCTACTGGTCACGAAGTCTTCGACATCTTCTATAAACCATGCTTCTGGGTAGCTCAGGTCGGCTGGTGTGTCGACTTCCTGCTCAGGCTCGGGCTGCTCTTCTGGCTGTGAGGGTGAGGTTGGTGAGGGTTCTTCTTCAAAGGCCCGTCGTGTCATCCCTATGAGGTCCACTTTGCCGAAGTTAGGTGGTAGGTCGGGTATGATCTCTGGGCGCCATTCGTTATTGTCGGGACTGTCGGGGCTGGAGAAGAAGAGATAGTCGTTTGGGTTGCCGAAATCGATGGGGTGGCTGTGAGAGGCGGGGATGGGGGTGTCGGAGAAGAGGTAGTCTAGTTCGTGACCTTCGTTGTCGTTTGAGACCGCGAGAGCCGCGATCTCGTCGGTGGTTTCAGCTTGGCCTTGAGAAGCGTCTTTCGAGTTGGCACGCGCAGTCTCCTCGGCTTGCTTCCGCGCAGCTGCCTCGGCCTTCATCCGCGCAGCTACCTCAGCTTCCTTTCGCGCAGCTTCTTCAACCTCCATCCGCGCAACTTCTTCGGCTTCCAACCGCAATGCCGTCGCCAGTCTTCCCACACAGCCACTCATATTACTATTCACATCATCCCTGGTGATCTTCAGTCCACCAAGCAAAATAGGCTTGTGGTCCTTGATCTGCTGTTGCAGCATGCGCATTGCTACCGGTCGGTAGTCGACAGCAGGCTCTGCCTTCGCAGGCGACGAAGCTGCAAGCGTGGAAGACTTTTCCGGCGAGAGTGTGTGAGTAGTCGAGGACATTTTTGGTGTATTGATAGAAGCGGAAGTGCGCTTTGGCGCTGTGCTTGGGCTTGTAGCCATCTGGGTCGACGCTGGATGTGGTTTGGCCGCATGGTTTTTCGTCACACCTGATGGTAGCAGCTGGACTTCAGCTTGCTGTCGATTCGCATTTCGAGCCTGCTTCGGAGCTTGCTGTTGCGGTCCGCGCTGCTCTCGCTTTCGACTCGTGGAGTGCGGTGTAGTCAGGCCGTTACTATGATGGCCCGATTGCGCAGAGGCGACTGGCGACAGTGTCTGAGGCGGCGATGTTGCATATTGCGCCAAATGGTGAGCGAAAGAGGGGGCTGTTGCAGATGCGATCGCAGTATGCTCCTGCGACCTGCGCTGAGGAGAGAAGCTGGCAAGTTCCTGCTGTCGATGTGATCCATTTGAAGACAATCCATTGTAGCCAAATGCAGGTTCGCCAGCTTGACGCTTTGCTGCTGGAGCCGGACTTCTGGATGTGGCAGATGGGACGAAGTCTTGGACCGGCGAATTGGTGAGGGTATGTTGCGCTTGAGGTTGCGCTTGAGACACTGGACGAGCTTCTGGACTCGCTATACTTCCCGTGTTGGCTGGATGTTGAAATGACCGCGGCGGTAGAGACTGATGCTGAAACTGCCGCGATGTCGCGTGTGCGGGTGTGGTCTGACGCAACGAGGACATCTGCTGAGTCGGTGACGCAGATGGAACGAAGGGTTGTAGCCCACGACCCTGCGGGACTGCTTGGCGTGCGGCCTGGAAATGAGTCTGATGAGCAGGTGCCGCTGCGGAAAGAGAAGCAGGCGCCGCTGCAGGACGAGGAACTGGCGACACAGCCATCCCCCCTCCCCCCTTCCTCCCCAGCCCTCCCCCCAACAGCCCCAACACCCCATCCCACCTCCCCACCTCCCCCCCATAACTCTCCTTACACTTCTTATTCCAATCCCCCCACGTCTTATGCGCAACATGCAGCTCCCCCTTGAGCACCATCTCCTCAACCCGCGTCTTCCACGCCCGGATCTGCTTGCCAATAGCATGTTTCTTGTTCTTCTCTGTAAGACCCTCCGAGCAGCACTTGTGGTGACTTCCCTCAGGATGCAGGCACTTGTACAAGCCATCCGGCCTCTTTGTACAGGCCGCGAGTGAGTCTTCGGTGGGATATTCGGGGACGGGGGCTTTGTCTAGGGGATGTATGCGAGCGTCTGGTTTTGTGTCGCCCCATTGTTGGCGGGTGGCGAGGATCTCGGCTGGCGAATCCATTCCGGGGGTTTGTGTGATGGGCAAGGGAGTAGGCGGCGATGCTGTTGTGGGCGACTTGCGTCGCACGTCGCGACAGCCATTTGTTTCCCAAGCGTGAAGTTTCTCGTACCAACGTGCTTTAGGGTGGGTTTGCTGCGCTTTGCACCAGGCTTCGATTGCGGGCTTGTTGTCGTTGTAGCGCTGCTCTTGTGAGGTTGTGATGGAGTCGTTGCGGGCCCGCTTTGCTTGTGCTTCTTGTGATTCATCTTCGGGTCTTGGGCGCTTCTGCGCTTGGTGAACCATGGGTGCTTGGGCAGAGCTGGGCGTATACGGGTTCGTTCCAGTTGGTGTGCTCGTCGAGAACGTGATGTGAGGCGACGACGTCGCGCTACTTGTCGGCGTTTTTGCGAACGGTGGAGGCATCGTGTGCGCCCGGGCTCCTCGTGGAGTTGCGATTTGGATTCGGTGGCTGTGGCGTCGATGTCAGGCGGGTGGTGTTGTGCGTTCGCCAGTGCTCGTCGCGAGTTGTCCGGGGCGAGGTGAGTGATAGTATGTACGCTGTAGAGGCACTGTACTAACGCGCTAGCAATGGATCGCTGAGTGAAAGGTCATATTGAACTGCTCTCTACATTCACTGATGATATAGTGTATCTTGGAAGTCAGTCCCGTGGTTGAGGATGCGACTACCTTGGTCCAACGAACTTCAACTTTGGGAGACGCAGTTACACTAGGGGGCTACAAGGACATCAAGACACGCAGTCACGTTGTTTGTAGAAGGATGTAAGGCGTACATGCATGCAGTAATGTATGGATGTACGGGACGCGATCACATTGTAACTAGCTCAGCTATACATGCAATTCAAATCTTTGTATCATTCACTACGGATAGTTGTAGCAACCGAAGAAACTACACAACATATAACACAGCCCTTCTATAACTGCAATGTCTGCTAGGAGGGTTCTTCGAATGCTACAACCACTTATCGAGATATTCTTCAACAGTCTAATGTCGAAGCATGGAAAGGACTTGAGAAAGCAAAGATATATGCAAAGTGACAACGACCCCCTCCTCCGACATCTTAATCCGACACCACCCCCCCCTCCGCTCCCACCCCCCTAAGCCAACCCCGTACCAACACTCCAAGTCGCATCCGCATTGAAGCTCGCCGCAGCATCAAAATCATGAACACCACCATTACTAGCAATATCCCCAACATTGTTATAATGACGAATATACCTCGTCGGATACCCCCACGCCCTAATCGAACTCCCCGAGCCCGTGAAGCCAGCTTGGGGACAGAAAGTCGCATCCTCCTTGAACGCCTTGGACCCATCATTCGCCTGCAGCTGCAACACAAAGTTATAGTGGCGAATATAACTCCCAGCCGTATCCTTCGACTCAAACGAGAAACAAGCACTATTCGCCAGACCAGCGCGTACAGTCCAGCTAGCCTGCCGCTTAAGCAATGCGGTGCTGGACGAAGAAACGACTTGCGTGTTAACCGTAGCGCCAGTGTGCGTGAGGTAGCGATCCGTGTATCCAGCTGTCGTGGCGCGGAACGAGATTGATGATCCGACTGTGTAGGCGGGGCCGCTGGTTAAGCTTGTAGTCGCGTATTTCGCTGCGACGATGTTGGCTTGCACGGCGTTCTCGGTTGCGTCGGTGGGGTAGCCGGTTGTCATGACGCCCTCGTAAAAGGTTCCTTGCGCTCCGTTGCTGTTGTCGCCGCCGATACCGAGGATTATCGCGCCTTCTTTGCTCATGGGGTTGTAGCCTGAGGCGCTGGGTCGCGCGCCGTTGTAGTATGTTGATAGGGAGCCGGATGCAGCGTTGCCGCCGCGGAGAGCCCACTTGTTTGGGCCGCCCTTCAAGACGGTGGTGAGGAAGCGGTCTGTGAGAGTGGGATCCGCGGGGTTGTTCTTCGGGGACATGCCGGAGAAGAGACCGTTTTCCAGGTCGGCCATTAGCCACGGGCCGGAGCCGGCGCCTGTGCCCCAGATAGTGTTGGTTCCGAAGTAGATAGCTTCCATGTGGCCGTTTCCTGTGGGGGTTGTTAGTAAGGTGATTGAGAGGAGAGTGTGGGAGTCTGCGTACCGGTGTCGAGGTTGTTGGTCTCGGCGTTGCCGTAATCGAAGCAGCATGCGTCGTTGAAATGCGTTCCATCGAGTACAGCGTACATGCCCTCTGCTGCATCGCCCGTCGCTGAACCGCTGACTTTGTTGTTGCGATATCCAGTACCCGGTGAAACGAAGACACCATATGCCTTCTTTCCATTCAACGTGACTGGTGCGCCGATAGCACCAGCCAGGTTGTCGTAGCCATTAGCTTCCGGGCCATTGAAGCCTCCAGGTGGAGCTTGAGTGAGGTGGTTACCACGACCAGATTGATCGTAAATGATGGTAATCAGACATGTGGTGTTGGCGCAGAACTTGTCCTGTGTTGCGGCATTGGCTACACCACCAGCGGATAGAGGTGCGACATTGGTGGTAGCGCCATCGGAGCCGCGCTTAATCTGGTAGAGAGAACCGCTGAAGGAATTGTAAAGCGCGCGAGTGGTACTGTGAGCGGCGATGCAAGGCGTGTTACCCGAGGCGTAGATGTCGCAAGGTCCAGCGGCAACGAAAGAACCTGTAGCGACTAGGCCAAGCGCGGCGATCTTGGATGGGGAAGGCATGACTGGCTGTTATTATTATTACTACGAGAGAAGAACCGGGCGATCGTCTGGATCACCAGAGAACTGATACATCGCCCACATTTAAACAAATGTCTTTGCAGCCTCGTTCTTACTGTGTCAATATACATAGTTCATGTCTGCGTCCGTGGACTAGATGAGAAAGGCAGTTGGAAATGCACGGAGGGCAATTTCTCCTCCAACAGCGACAGGGCCTGTACTTTTATCAGCCTAAGGACGTCACGAGGCTGCAACTCCAGGTTCAATGGCGCCTGCCCTCCCCGTATTTTCGCTGTGTAGATTGCGGGGGAGACCAGGGTATAAGGCTGTAGCTCCGGAAGATATAAGCTTTGCCGAGGATCACCCATCCGACGAGGCGCTTACCACCCACACACCATCCCACCTCCAACAACACATCACGATTCAGCCTCTCCGCTGTCGATTCTGGACACTGCGATATCCACCATCCTCCCCTCCGCCGCCCCTCCGCCTCCCCCATCCACCCTGTGGACAAGGTCTAAGGTTGTAGTGCCGGAGGAAATAAGCTTTGCCGAGGAACATCTGTCGGATGACAAGACCAGAACTAGCGTTTCCAAGAGCCGTCGGAGCACACGCCGTTACGCCGCATACACGTGAGAACGTATCCGTAACTTTCCATTCCAGGCAGTGTGACTCTTTTTACAGTTCTTCTTGCTCCACCGTCACGAAGTGCGAAAGTTCGTCTCGGCATCCACCTCCGATGGCGTTCTAGATCCGATCGTCCATTTGTGACAATGCCGACAGATATGCGTGTGACGTACAAACCTTGAATCGTTGTTTTGAAACGCGAAGTGAGCCAACTCATGCAGTTTGAAGCTCGTTGGTGTCAATAGTATCGCGACGAAAGTTTGCAGGGCCAGATTGAGCGCTTACGGCATGCTTATGGTCGGCGCTTTCGCAGTTGGGTGGTTGGAGTTCCCTTCAATAGTCTGGCCGATGTTCGCCGGGTGAGCTCAAGGGCCGCGAGACGAGGGTACCGTGGACAGGATGAAGATGGCGCAGAACGCCTTCTCTCGCAATTCGGGGCTGCGAAAGTGTTGAGCTGGGTCGTTGAAATTCCTGTGCGCGAAGCTAAGAGCTGTCATACTGCTGACATGTTAGCCTTCCGTCATTGACGTCCAATGCGGGCCGCTCAGTACACAGATGCACGAGTTGAGCGTGTGGACGTAGTGGCGCGTCGCACTGAGATTATCGATGTATTCGGCGTCCTGGCCGTCTGTATTCTGAGATGTCTATTTTTGTACCCTTGATAGAGTCGTCGAACGTGGTATCATATGCTAAAGCGATGCAGAAAAATCCACCAAGATATAAGCGCCCCCAGTATGCCAGTCGTAACTTTATGTTTCCCGTTTGCGCGTACATGATGCGCGACGTGAGATCTTTGATGTCGATTCGAGGACGTTGTCGCTATCCGTATTGATCGCGCAAGTCGGGTCGTGGCGTCACCGGTCGTGTCCGCTGGATCGCGGTGCCAACGGGGGTAATGGCATGTGGTTCTCGTGAAGGTCACCGTGTGTCTCGTACCGCGCCGGACGTTGCTTCATCCGCTCGACTTGCAGTTCCACTTCGCTGGTCAAAGTGATCGTCATATCGGTGTCCGTAGTCATATTTCCATTGTTGCTTTTCGGGCGGACCTTGCCCCACAGGCGCGACATCCCCGTTTTGGGAGCTTCCTCCTCTTCCAGAATAGCTTCCTGACTTCCTCGTTCCAGATCCTGTTCCGTATCCGCCCAATGCTTCATCTCATAGCTGTTGCCCTTGTCGTTTGCGAGTTCTGGCGCATTGCGCGGTGCTGTGGATTTCCGGTTCGTGGAGGAATGCGACGCTGATGCGTTGGCGGTTAGCGTCTTTGATGAGTTCGCGCTCTTCTTGAAGGATATGCCACCTGTGAAGGATTGCGATAGACTGAAGGGGATCTTCGCGAGGAGAGGTTTTAGTACTGGAGCCGAGGCGCATATCTGTGGCGAGTAAGCATCGTGTCACTGATTAGCGGTCGTACGTAATAACTTACTACACCCAAGTCTATCTCGACAGCGGCCGCAATCCACAGTGGATATGCGTACCAGGTTTGATCGTACTCGTTGTTAAAGAGACTCCGATAGATGAACCAGGTACGCACAATACCAGCAGCAGAGACAATTAGCCCCATACCGAATAGCGCGGCGACAGCCATGCGCTCACGCAGACGCATGTGGAGCTGGGATCAGTTAGTAGTGTTCTGCCTTGCGTATGGGATTGAGCCAACTCACGCCCATGACCAAAGGTATTGGTGTTAAGGTAGTAAGGAAGTCCGCGACACAGTTGATAATTCCACAAATGAGAGTCGCAGTCCCCTCGTCCATGCAAGTGTCTGCCGGTGCGCCGATAGTCCAATAGTTCTTGATGGGTGTGCAGAAGAAGATGGCGATGAAGGGGAATGATATCAAGATGCCGAGTGTGTAGGCAACATTGACATGGACAGCCCACTTGAACCATCTAGACGAATTAGCAAGGCTATTGAAACGCGATACCGAGAGTACTCACGTCTTCCCCGAGTCTGTCACCAAGCGGTAGTAGAAGCAATGCAGAGAGAGTCTCGTGAAGCTCGCGGCTGCTGTGAAGACGACCTTGGCGGTCATAGCGATTTTGTAGGCCGGAACGAACATGTGAAAGGGTATATCCCAAACATGTCTATAGTGGTTTGATGATTAGCTGTATGCGATGCGAATGGAGATCGGGTTATTCACCTATCCCATCCATATCGGAGGTTTGCCAGGAGAACGACGGCAGTGAGACCGCATGTGAAGAGCAGCGCAAAGAGGATGAAGATGTCGTCAATACCGAACCACCTCTTGATGACTATACGGGTGTATAAACGCGCAATCACAACGAGGATGGTTAGTGCGATGAGGATGCTGTTGACGATGAGGAGAGCAGGGCCGCGCGTTTCCGGGTCAATGTAATTCGGAGTCGGCCAACCCAACAGGACATCCACCGGAGGCAGCTGCATACTGGATTATCGTGGGCCTGCCCGGGGAAGTATGCTCGACATGTGGGCGTGGAGGATTGACGAGCTGCGGATAGACGGGCAAGGTCAAAGAAACGGGATCGAGAGCTTGCCACTAGGATAGGGTCTCGAGGGTTATGTTCAGTGAAGAGTGGGGCTGCGCACATGGCCGTTAGCTCCATCCATGTCATGAAGCGCAATGGCGCGCTGACTACCGTCACGACGCTGGTGTCGCATTGGCTTCGACGCTCGGAAGGTACACGGACCGTACGCAAGGCACGATAATCGTGGCGCATCAGCGGGGTCTTGCATGCGGCGCACGAACTCTCCGTGAAGGGTGGAACCCAAAATCACGACAAAAGGTTCTGCCAACCGCACGATCCGGGCAGCAATGACGAACCCTTGGACGAGTTTGCTCCATCAGGATCGGCCCAGGCATTTCGAGTGCATCCCAATGACCTCGGAGATAATCCCATTCTGCCCATTCAGTCGGTAGCAAAGATGGTTCTTGGTTGGTTTGGCTTACGGGACACCAATTTCCGCCTCGCCGGCAGTACAAACATGCCGCCACGACAACGAGTATGGCAGTCCCTTGCACAAGAACACGGTCATGTCTCAGGTCACAGGGACATCCAATGGACGAGTCGTGCCACCTGTAGCTACGGGAGCTAGGTCTTGGCCGAGTTGGAAGCTTTCGGGAGGCACCAACCAGTATCATCCGGCAATAACGGGGGGCTGTTTAAATCGACGAAACTTTCTAGACCCTGAAACCATGTGTTGAATGCAGCAATCGACGCGAAACATGGTGTTGATCCAAGGGTTCGTAGTTGTGGAGGGAAGGTCTGCCTGTGCGTGCGGCCAGGTCAGATCAGGCATCCCACGCTAGCGCCGACCGCACGGGGTCTAGCGTCGGATCTTTGTCACCCTGCAGCGATCCATTGCTGTTCCGCCCCACCCGTATCCTCCATCGTCGAACTCAAAACTACGGGGGCATTTCGATCTAATTATGTTGCGAAGGAATCACAACGACTGTGCCGCGTGAACATCGGCACCCGACAAATGCTTCGATTATCTCCGAGGACGCCGACATCACGGATATCACGGACCCGTTGACAGCGGTGTGGCTGTTGCACGCTGACGTGCAGTGTTCACAGTTCAACAAACCTTCGTAAAGTCGGACGTGCAGTTCTCGCGGCATTGGGTGCGGTCATATAGCGCCGACACCAGGGTACTGGAGCTTACGCGTGCCGATGTATTCTGCAGAACCCATCTGCTACCCACTCTTTGATGGATGGCTGCGGCGTGGGTATCACTAGGGTATGTACCGACTCGTTCACGTATGACGCCTACATGCTCGAACGATGAATCCTTCGCTCCATCGGTTCCAAAAGCCACACCGCTGGATCCATGTGCGATATCCTCCGCATACATAGGACCATGTTCGCGCCCAGGCCCCTGACTCGATATGAGGCTGATACGCCCTCCTTTGCGCTGCCGGGACACGGCTGCCACGAGGCTGGCAGTGGCTTGCACCTAATTCCATAGCGCGCGCAATGCACGAGCACATCGGCCTGCTCTCGAGACGAGGTTTGGCGTTGCTTGGATTCGATGCCCGGGCACATGTCTCTTTCTGCACCGATTCTGGCGTTGAAACACTCTCTTTCGGCTTCAGATGCTGATGTCGCAGTGAATACCCACAGTATATCTGCAGTAACGGGACGTATCTCGACAATTTCATCTGCAGGATCGATCCGCCCAAGGAACATGATTCGGGTGCGGCTCCGTTCGACCGTCATTGGCCGAGCCCGCCCCCAGAAGGCGCGCAGCCCCCAGAAAACAAGGCGTGCAGCATCGTGCGCAGTCAGCATTTGCGCCTCCGAACCATTGCCCAACTACGAGGCTTCTACGCTCAACGCCAGAATCATGCCATGTCCTCATCCGGCCTCATGCTGTCAAGCCCGCGTCTCCCGCCACGTGTGGGTTGTCGCCATTGTTTACCTGACGCCGCATCGGGCCTTCTGCCGCACAGTTTTTGCTAGGTTGTTCCTAGTTATACAACATGAACTAGGACTCAGGCACATACTCGCCCACGACCCTCTGCCGTCCCAATACCGGGTGAAGACTACGGTTACTTGCAGGCGACCCGCCGTTGTGGGTACTGGATGCAACCAAGGGGTGTTCATCCATATTCATTGTGGGTTCGGGAATCGTTGACGAAACTGTCTCAGGGACTCAAACATGTATCGCGGTCATTGCGATGGGGACGAAGGTATGTCGGGTGGGCAAGCTGGTTTTACATGATGTTGCACACCGAAGAACGGCATTGTCACAGATCATAGTGGGCTAGTAAGTAGGTGTAGCGAGACACTATTGAGTTGCTCTACTACTACATTTTAAATGCCGGCCCAATAGGCAGATAGCGTGCAAGCCACATGTCAGCTTGTAGTCATGGTAGCGTACTCATGACCGGATGCGACCCTCGTTCATACTCCACGCGACATGTCTGTCGAACCACTCCTATCGCTGACCAATGCTTACAAGTCTCATGACTTCTCCAGGTGCCCGCGGTGATCTCCCGACGAATCCATCTCTCCACGGCAGTCGCACAACGTCATACAACTGAACAGGGCTGCAGCCTACATCAAGATGAAAGCCTACAAAGTAGGCGATCTAATGTCAACGTAGGCTTCAGGGTGTTTACCTTTTCAATGGGATGAGGTGCCAGTCACACGACAGGTCGCGACAGACTAGGCCCACGACATCGTCGCATTCGCGAACCCAACACTCAGACCCCTCTCACGAGTCGGATTGAAGTCGCGAGAAGGATCACCGTAATCATGCTTAGTCTTCTGCTTGCACTTCTTGAACGGGTGCTTCAGGCTGCCGGGAATCGGCGGATCACCCGGTTTGCGCAGAGCGTCGAGTTTCGAATGCCAATCGACATCATTATCGCCTTTACAATGGCCTTCATTGTGGCAAAGGTTCTCCCAATCTTCGGAGAACATGAGACCACTTCGCACCAGGAAGTTGAAGGTCTGGTCCTGATAAGGGTTGTATGTGTTGTCGTTCCATCCGAACTCGCCGACCATGCAAGGGAAGTTCCGACCGTGCGTGGACCAGACGCTGGAAATGGCTTCGCCGAGGGGGTTGCGGGCGATCGCTAATGTGTAGGCGCCCATGAGGTTGAATTGGCCGTTGCCCCAATTCATCGCCTGTCCTAGAGCCGACTGGACCGTCTGGAAGTCAGCAGTTTGTAGAGCGTCATACAGATTGTGCTCGTGAACCGCAAGGGACGAGCGGACGACATCTTTCAAGGTAGCTCCGTAGACGTCGGAGTTGTGTCCTTCGAAGAAGTTTCGATATCCTGTGGGGCCATGGATCAACGCTTTGTGGTTTTTACCAGGGTCGTTCTCCTGCGAGATATCCAAGGCGTATATCCAGTATGAGTGATCCGGACGTTCCGGCAGGCACACTCGGTTCTCGGTCGGTCCACGAATGTCTACCTCACAGGCACCTGTAGGGACGTCAGCATCAACGATATAGGGCCGTTCCCATTGCCACAATGCGTTGATCACAGCATGCTTGAAGACCTTCTCGGACATCCTCATGATATTCTCTTGGATATTGCCATCTCTTCTGAAGAAGTCTTGACCCTGCATGAGACCGAGCAGGTCTTGGCCATGGTTGTTCTTGTCCCCTTCCATGAGCTGCTTCGACTCATGTGCAATGCTGATCATACTGTGATGGCGAAAGTCGTTTAGGGATGAGCGTATAACATCCTCGATATTGTCAGGAAGCTTCACAGGGTCAGCTCGAGCGGTGTTAATTGTGCCGACGACGGAGATGTAGGTAGACGCGGCCATGTTAACCATCGAAGGCGCGGCAGTCTTGTCGAGTCCAATGAAACCTGGGATAGCTAGTGCCCCACCAGCCATCATCAGTAGAGCGGAGACGGCGGTCATGCCGAGCTTCTCCATCCTCCTGTGGTCGTTCTTCTCCTGTTGAATTTGCGTCGAGATGCGTGATGCAGCGCTGTATCTCGCCACAAGTGAAGGCACTTGTCCATCCGCATACAATGCACCTTCCTGTAAGCCTTCGCGAAGGCTCTTGTACAGGTGGTCCACACCGGCGATCTGTTCGAAGACGAAGTAAGCCATCTGCCTATCGTGTTGCGATAGCGAGGGATCGAGAGCTTGGCAAGAGAAGCTGCATCCTCCAACAGTGTCGCAATAGGAGGCACTTGGCGCTACATTGGGCGCAAGCTTGTCG